CTGGCGGGGAGCCCCGCACCTCTCCCGCTCGGCTGCACTCCAGCGGCCCCTTCCCGGTGGGGGGGGCGAGCCGCTGGGGCGCGGCCGGGCGGGAGAGGCACGGGGCTCCCGGCAGCGGCGGGGAAGTTTATGGGTTCCGGGGACCCCAGCCGGCTCCTTGCCCCTGTCCGCCGGCCGCCCCGCCTGGGACAAGTCTCGCCCCCGCAGCCCCTCTCCGCTGCATGTCTCCGGCGGCCCACGCCCCCAGGCCGCACCGCCCACCCGGGCCAGAGCCAGCCCCGGCTGCTGCCTGCTCGCAGCCCGGGCCATGCCCAGCTAGCCCCCGGCAGCCGCGGCAACTTTTCCTTCCCCTCCCGCGCTCCTGGTAGATGCCTGACCCTCCTCCCTCCATCCCCGCTCCACACATCCCTCCTCCCTCCATCCCCGCTCCACACATCCCTCCTCCTAACCTCCTCCCTTCATCCCCCTCACATCCCACGCAGCACTGCACGCTGGTGTCCAGCGGCCTCCCTCCAGCGCTTGCGCAGCTGCCATACAGCTGATCAGCGGCGCGCAAGCCTAGGAGGGAGGGGAATGAGGGCTGCGTGCTTGGGGAAGAGGCGGGGATTTTGGGAGGGATCCAATGGGGGAAGGAGGGGGCGGAGTCGGGGTGGGAGGGGGGCGTGAGTGCCGGAGCGGAGGGCAAATGTGCTTTTTTGTCCAGTGTCCCGACTGAACATCGGTCGGGACGTGGGACAAAGAAGCAAATATCGGGACAGTCCCGATAAAATCGGGACGTCTGGTCACCCTAACTCCAAGATATACCAGAACAACCCTTAGTCTTTTATTCATAAGTAGGGAATTCCCCTGCTGTTTGTTTCCTCTCTTGTTGATTTTTGCAGTCTTAGGGTATGTCTACACTGCCCTCGTTACAGCGTGGCCGTGGCAGCGCTGTGACATGGGCAGTGTAGTCACGCTTTATCGCTGGGTCAGAGCTCTCCTGGCGATAAAAAATAACCACCCCGAGCAAGGGGTGGTAGCTTTATTGCCGGGAGCCATGCTCCCGGTGATAAAGCGCTGTCTATACTGGCGCTTTTCAGCGCTAAAACTTTTGTTGCTCAGGGGGGTGTTTTTTCACAGCCTTACTTAGCTGAGTATGCAAATAGGCGTACATTGTGAGGCATACAATACACACTACCCAAATGGCCAAACAGGGAGATAAATGTCTGTTACCTCCTGCCTGAAAGGAACATTTCTGAGGTATGTCACCTCCTGGTGACCTGCCTTCAAGACCTTAAGAACATAATTTTCAGTATAAATACATAACTCCTTAATTATCTATCCATACATGTCACAATGATGATTATGAGCTACTGGCTCTCGGTAGAGACCTTACATACTACCTTTCGGTGAACTATTCTGAATCTATCCGAATCAAGGGATCCCTGTAAAAATGTATATGCTCCCTGTGTCCTCTGCCAGTTGGCATCAAGGGGCCCCTGGGTCACACATAGTAATTAAAGATCCCACAGCAGGGAGCAGAGCTGAGGGGAGAGGTAGGAGCTGAATTAGCCTCAGTTTCTGTCCGTGGGCTTGAGCCCTATGAAGTAGCACTTTCATTAAGAAATCAGAAAGCTAACGATGCTTATCAATGTATAACAGTTACTTTTAAAAATTTAGGAATGACTCATATTACTGAGCAGATTCATCAAAGGGATGGGGGTTCAGTTTTGAACGTTAATAAGAAAATGCCTTGTCTGGTTACTACCTGTAAATAATTTTAACAAATTAGGCTGGGATTTTCAGAGGCATCTAAGGGAGTTAGGTGCTAACTTTCCACAGAATTGGCACCTAACTCCTTTAGGCGCCTTTGTACATCCCAGCATAAGGAGATGAAAACTGAATTTCTCTATAGAAAACCAGCACTTCCTAACTACTGAAGTATGCAGTAGTTTTGTGTAACTACTGTACTGCATTGCTAATTTCATTGACATCTAGGATGGAATCCACTTCTTTGCAGAGAGCCAGCACTGGGATGATATACCACTTAATGGCATATATGTCCTCACAATAGAGTCCAAATGGGAATTAAATAGTGTGTAGGCAGTGCTTTCCTCTGCACAGTGGTGAATTTCACCCTTACTGTTAGGACACAGAACTGGGAATATTGTGATCTGGGTTCTAGTCCTGATTCTGCCACTGACTCACTGGATGATCTTGGGGAAGTCACAAGTTAATTTCTCTGTGCCTTAGTTTTCCCATCTGAAAAAAAATCATGATCTAATGTTGAGAGCACAGGGCTAGGAATAAGGAAGTTCCTGGGTCTGCCACTGACTTGCTGTTTTGCTTGAGCAAGTCACTACTGTGTGCCTCAGTTTCCCCATCTTTGCTTACTTCACATGGGTGTTGTGAGGATAATCTATTAATGTTTGTAAAGTGCTTTAAGATCTGTGGATGGGAAGTGCTACATAATGGCAGTCCTTATCAAAGTTGTATGTTATAAAGACTGAGGGGATGTCTACACTGCAATTGGAGGTGTGACTACAGCATGTGTAGACATAGCTGGATTAAAGCTAGCTCAGGTATTTTCAATACCAACAGCAGTCAATCTGCAACAGCACGGGCCTCAGCATGGGCTGTACAAGCCCACTCAGGATGCTGAGTATTTACTCAGACAGCTAGCCCATGCTGAAGTCCATGCTTTACTGCTACCTAAAGTAAAGCTAGCTTGGAAGTGTCTGCACATGCTGCAATCACACCTCTGATTGCAGTACAGACATGCCTAAGAATACCTGTATTTTTCATTGTCGTATTTTTCTACGTTTACTCTTTAAACGTTTACTTTCTCCCCTACAGACACTTACGCGATTACCTGAACATCACTGCCGGAGAACATGATTTAAGTCTCATGGACGAAGGAGAGCAGACACTACCAGTTAAAGCCATCATTAAACACCCAAATTTCAACCCCAAAAGACCAATGAATTATGATATTGCCCTTGTGATGCTGGATGGTGCTTTCAACTTTAGTAAGGCCACAATTCTATACAATAGTTTGCAATTATAAGTATCAAGCTCACAGACCTCCCTGTTAAACATTCTTGTTAAAGCATAACTCCTAAGAAGAAATAGTTTATGCATAATTTTAAATGCATTTCTTCACAGAAACAATAATTGTACCATAATATATGCAGCATAATGGAGACAGAGAAAAAAGAACACATCAATGTGCATGGCCTTTGTGTTTTGGAGAAAGAGTAATTAAAGGTCTGGAGGCAAGTCAGAAAAATAACTGAGTTGAATAGACTTATTCACATGGAGCAGAACCTTGAAGAATAGGGTATTACTCATTGGGAGTACAGGTGTTAGAATTTGGCCCTAAGTATTTAACTGAAATGCTTGTGCTGAAAAGAAATTAGGTTTGTGTGTCCACAGAGTGGCACTCCCAGTATGTTCCAGCAGGGCCAGATTAAGGCAATTCAGGACCCTAGACAGTGGTGCTGGAACAATTTGTATAGAGGGGGTGCTGAAACTGTAAACCCTGTATATAATGAAAACCATGTCAAGCCGGGGGTGTGGTAGCACCCCTAATTCCACCACCTATGGCCCTAGACATAACATAACATGGGCCATTTCTATGGCCCTGCTACCATGTCATCACCCCACTAACCACTTTCAGTAGAGGTGATTGGAGTTCCCCTCTCCTTCCCATAGAGGCAGAGGAAGGACATGGAGTTCTTTGTAACCCCAGTAGTGACAGCATGGACCCACCTCCATTTGGGAGTAGGAAACAGAGGCAGGGACAGCAGCTTGCATTCGTTCTTTCAGTACTTACTTCAGCAGTCAGGGTTGGCGAGCTGGGCCCACTGCACTCTCTCATCTTACACAGGGATGTCTCCTGGAGTAGTGTTGACAGTGCCCTCTGGAGCAGTGTGTCTTGGTGTTAACACCACATTGAAATGTATGAGCCAGTTCTCTCTCTCAGATCTATTGTTTCAGGTTCTCTGCAGACTCAGGCCTGGTCTACACTACGACTTTAATTCGGATTTAGCTGCGTTAATCCGAATTAACCCTTCACCCGTCCACACTACAGAGCCAGTTAATTCGAATTAAAGGGCACTTAAAATCGATTTCTGTACTCCACCTTGACGAGCGGAGTAGCGCCAAAATCGATTTTGTTAATTCGAATTAGGGTTAGTGTGGCCGCACACCACCGAATTAATGTGGTTAAATTAATGGGGTAGTGTGGCCGCACACCACCGAATTAATGTGGTTAAAAACCGAATTAATGTGCTTAGTGTGGCCGCGCACAATCGAATTTATACAACCTGTTTCCCAAATTCGAATTATCTAAATTCGGATTAATCCCGTAGTGTAGACATACCCTCAGGCACGCATTACTGTGTTGTTTACACTTGGTTCACATTTGCATGGTTTCCTTTGCAACCATGAGGACCAGATTATTTTTTTAATAGGAAAATTTAGATTCTGTTATAGACAGAGGAGCCGAGGGCCTGGGTCTATAATACCTATGATTTAATCTGGTCTAACAAATGGCAACACAGTGAACCAATGAATTCTCAGGTTAAAAGAATACATTCATCCAATAAAGCACCAGGAAAGAAGGTAACCTCCTCAGAGCTGCTTTGAAAAACAGGCATTGGTTATCATACTCTGAGGGCATGAATGAATTTCCAGCAGCTTGTAACAGGTGTCTTTTTCAGATTAACCCTCTGATAGATGTCACAATAAACTACAGTGCTATTTTATTTAAAGGATTAGTTGAGAAGTAAAACAAAGTTTATGTTCTTAAGCTCTTCTTTCAAATGTTTAATAAGAAATTCCATGTATATTCATGGTAGGTTCATCAGTTTTGCCAGCCTGCCTTCCTGATGTGGGTGAAAAGTTTGATCCGGGAGATGTTTGTACCACTTGTGGTTGGGGCCGTCTAAAAGAGAGTAAGCCACTGAAGTAACTTTTTAATTTTCTTAGTACTGCTTATAAGCTCCTTTATTTTATTTTCTATTTAGATGTTTAGCGGTTTGTGCAGCCCATCAGATCTACAGACCAGACAAATGGTGTAAAGTGTGTGTGTGTGTGTGTGTGAGAGAGAGAGAGAGTTCTTTTAACTGGGATTCTATTGCAAAGCCTTATACATTTTTCTGACTCTTCAGTTTTGTAACATATTAGGTTGGGTCAGCTTGTATCTGAAAGTCAGAACACAGACAATTTAGGCATCTAGGCCACAAGTGGGCCAGGAAGAAAACAGCAGCTATGAATCAGAATTGGAACCTCAAAACAGGGCTTAAGTGGTACAATGGCTTTATGTGGCACCTCTACACTGTGCACAAGAGTAAATTTCACCCTGAATGTATTACAGAAATCTGAAGAACCGGTAGTTTGCCAAAGGAGGTTGTGGAAGCAGGCGGTATAAACTCAAGTCCTACTACATATCCAAGTAGTTTATTTTGAACATTTGGACTTTTCTTTTAGTTCAACTGTCTGAGGGTGGAATAGTTTTGCCTTTTCTGTAAAGGTGAACTGAGTTTCTTTCTATATGTATCAATAAGGGTTTTATAACAAACTTAAAATACATCTGTGGTATATATGAAAATCTTGACATCAGGAGTTGTATTTCATAGTTACAAAAATGATCCAATTTCATAGGGTGAAAAAGTCTGGAGGAGGTTTTGCATGAAAACAGGACTTTTTTGGGGGGGAAACAAGCTAATTTTTGTTTTAAGTGGTCTCTTTTTAATGAAAACATGTTTTCTAAGGCTCCTATCCTGCAATGGCCTCTGCATGGGCAGATCCCAGTGCCTGCACAGATGTCACTACTGGATGGGGCCTACATTTTCAAATCAAGACAGTTGCAGCCAAAGATCAATATTTGAATTGAAATATATACACCCACATAAAACTTCACACATTCATATACACAATGGCTGTTTCTCAAAATACAACATTTAGAAGATGAAACTTCACCAAAAAAACAAACAAAAACTATCATTATCCACTGAACTTTCAGTTCACCTTTCAGTATGTCTAGCAAACTAGTTTCCTTATTTTTTCTTTAATCTTTTTTAGATGGAATCCTCCCTCAGGTCTTGCATGAAGTAGACTTGCCAATCATAGACCACAAGGAATGTTCTAGAGCTTTGTCAACCTTACGGAATCCGATCCGAGGAGACACTTTAATGTGTGCTGGATTTCCAGATGGAGGAAAGGATGCATGCCAGGTTGGTGAAACAGATAGCCTTGCAGACCATGCTGTAGCTCACATTTGTGTGTGTCTGTGTTTGAGTGAATAGACATACTCTATAATACGATAGGCGGTGTAATCCATTTGATATTTTTAACTCTTCAAGGATGGCCAATATAATCCACTTATGACTTCACTCCATTTTATTCTCACATCCCTTGTGGTATGGGTTCCTCAAAATTACTTAGGGTTTGGAGAACCTTTCAGGTTAGCCTTTTGGAACATGTCCCAGTGCAATAACACTTGGAACTTCTCATATTCAGAACACTTCATAAGCATTAACTAATGAAGCCTCATAATACCCCAGGGAGGTAAGTAACAAAGTGGTGCTCTGACTATCAAGAAGGAAAAACTGAGACGTGGAAGTTAAATGACACACTCCTGGCCACAGAGGGAGTCAGTATCAGAACCAGAACTAGAATTCAAGAGTTCCTCGCTTCAGTCCTGTGCTAAGGCCATAACTCAACCCACTCTGGCACTAAAAATGTGGACATGCATCTTGGAGGCAGGGAACATGTTTGTCTATCTGTTTTTTTCCTCCCTCCCACAATGATCCTGACTAAATACAGCAAGCCCAGCTTTGGAGGCACAGTCTTATTTCCTTGGTTGTCTTAAAGGGACATGCCCTAAAATAGCAGGGGGATTACTCCTGTACAAAATACAGCTGGATTTTTTCTGGAATCATCCAGTGGGAGTTCATATTTGCTTAGTCACATACATGCTTTATATTAAGATGGGTTACCTTTATTATAGGGTGATTCTGGAGGCCCTCTTTTGTGTAGGCGTAAGCATGGTGCCTGGACTCTAGCTGGGGTGACCTCCTGGGGTATGGGATGTGCTCGGAGCTGGAATGATAACATGAGGAAAAAGTATGATCAGAGAGGATCGCCAGGGGTTTTCACAGATCTCCGTAAGGTGCTCTCCTGGATTCAAGAAAACGTCAATACTGGTAATAAAACCTCCACAAATACTTTAATAATATGTAGGAGTAATGACTTCCTGGTGTGTGCTTCATGGCTCCAAATTTTTCTTTTCTTTTTTAAGCTTTGCTTCATAGCAAATAACTATTATGGATTTCATTATGTGTCTAGCTGGACAGCACTCCGATTGCTGATCGAATAGAAAGGTCATTGTTTAGAACTGTTGCAAATGGTGACTATTTTATTATCATTTTATTTTATCTTCACCCTGGACAACCATTGAGTTTCAAGGATTGAATTCAGTTAGTGTGTTAAAATGGAACTTTCATTCATTTACATTTTCATTCATTCACAGCAGAATATTGGTGATCTCTTGGGCCCAAACCTGCACTTCCTGAAGTCAATGGGAGCTTTTCCTGAGAGAGCTGTGCTGGGTCAGGCGTTGTAACTGTATGGAGACGTCCATACTCGCATGAGTTCTCCACCTCTCACACATGTTCCCCCGCTGTGCACAGAGGGTGAAATTCATTCTTTTGCAGAGGGTCAGCATGAGGATTATTCACCACTTCTAAATTAATGGGGATGATGACTTAAATGGTGCATAGGCTTTTTGCTGTCACTCTACACAAGGGTGAATTTTACTCAAAGAGCAGTTATAAGTTGAGCTAATATTTTCTTCAAATTTGGGCTATTTTCTTTAAATGGGATCAAGGATTGTGGGAGTATGAGTGGAGACAAATATGCAATAGCTGAGATTCACATGTACTGGCTGGAAAATGTTTTTTTCCACAGAATATTTAAACAAAAATTAAAAAAAAAAAAGTTTTTAGTGAAAATGTCACTGGAAAGTTTCAACTTCTGATTGAAAAACTGAAATATAAAAAACTGAAATCAAATAAAAAAAACAAACATTTTGTTTTCAGGGTTTTGGTGTCCAATGAAAAATTGAAATGTCTTGAGGAAAGCACCTGCTTTCCATGCAGATTTTCAATTAATTGAAATTCCAATTTTCCATCAAGAAAAGGTTTGAGTGGAAAAATTTTTATCAGCCCTATTCATATACTGTTTTTCTTTATTACTTATTTTGGTTATTCTGCTTAAATTATTTGGAAATAACCTAGCTCGACATAAAAAGGGGTGCTTTAGAAGCAGCCCATAAAATATCATAAATTCCATTTGCACCCACCTTACGGCCCCTTCACAATGTCAGATAGTACAACTGAGCATCCGGCCCAGAATGTCATTTTTATGACCCTACCAGCCAGATTCTGCCCCCAGGTTCTGCTAAGCAGTACCTTACTCCACAAGTAATCACATTCAACTCAATGGGACTACTCAGAATAGGATGCTACTCTACTTGATTAAGGACTTGTCTGCATATGAGTTATTCTGGAATAGCTATTCCAGAATAACTCTGTGTGTGGACACACTTTCTTATTCCAGAATGAGTGCCTTTTTCTGAACTAGCTTAATCCACTTGAAAATAGATTAAACTAAACAGATAAAAAGTGCTGTTATTCCAGAATAAGTGTGTCCACATATGGAGTTATTCTGGAATACCTATTTTAAAATTCACACCCCCATCTTATTCCAGAATTATTTTCATGTGCAGACAAGCCCTACAGGTGGCAGAGTCTGGCCCGGAGTTAGCAATTTCTGATTGAAAAAAGAAGTCTGATTAAAATTCACTGTAGTTTTTACAAACTTATTCATTCCGATAAAGGCAAAGTTTACAGAAGATTTGTCATGACACTGAATGTGCTTCTCTAAAATCCCTTTTTTTCCTCCTCCAAATTAGATTTGAAAATGAAAAGTTCTACAGGTGAGTTCTTTAAACTTCTACTTGTGTTAGAGATATTAAGGCAAATGATATAAAAACTCTATAATTGTTACATTAGCTATGATGGGAGGAAAATACATATTTATGGTCTGATCTTGTAAACAATTAAACTCTGATTCAGCAAAGCATTTGAGCATGTGTTTAAAGTTTAAGTTCATGCTTACGTCTCTATTCAGGAAAGCACCTAAGAGTGTGCTTAAATATGGTTGACCTCAGAAAGGTCGATGGGATTCGGAAAAAAAATCCTTTAGAGCACCTAATATAAGAAAATAAATGTTTTCATTCATTTTTATTTGCATTCCTTGTAAACAGATATTTTAAAAAGTAGGTAAATATTCCCCAGCAGTGTAGGAATGAAAACTCAGATAGTACATGAGAACCAGAAACCGAGTGAGCATATTTTAAAGTGTTATATGTAAAAAATAGAGTTTGTAGTTTGCATTCTTCCTTTCCACTATGTAGTTGTACTCAACTCTTCAGTAAACAAGTAGGTTTATTTATAGGGCTGTCAATCACAGTCAATGCATGTGATTAATGCAAAATAAATTAACTAGATTAAAAAATATAATCACTATTAATCACCGTTTTAATCACACTTTTAAACAATAATAGAATACCAATTTAAATGTATTATAAATATTTTGGTTGTTTTACTACATTTTCAAATATATTGATTTAAATTACAACAGAGAATACAAAGTGTACCGTGCTCACTGTATATTATTATTTTTTCTTATAAATATTTGCACTGTAAAAAAGATAAACAAAAGAAATAGTATATTTTTCAATTCACCTCCTACAAGTCCACTCAGTTCTACTTGTTCAGCCAATCACTAAGACAAACAAGTTTTACATTTATGGGAGATAATGCTGCCTGCTTCTTATTTTCAATGTCACGTGAAAGTGGAAAGAAGCATTTGCATGGCACTATTGTAGCCGGCATTGCAAGGTATTTACGTGCCAGATACGCTAAATATTCGTATGCCCCTTCATGCTTCCACTTCTAGGATCTTAAGTTTTACATTGTTTTGTTTTTGAGTGCAGTTATGTTAAAAATAATAATAATAATAATTCAACATTTGTAAGTTGCATTTTCACTATAAAGAGATTGCTCTACAGTACTTGTATGAGGTGAATTGAAAAATACAGTTTTTTGTTTTTTTTACAGTGCAAATATTTAATCACAAATAATATAAAATGAAGACTGTACACTTTGTATTCTGTGTTGTAGTTGAAATCATCCAAAATATTTAAATACATTTAAATTGGTATTCTATTATTGTTTAACAGTGCAATTAAAACTGCGATTAATTGTGACTATTTTTTTAATCTTGCAATTAATTGCCATTATTTTTTAATTGTTTGACAGTCCTTATAATAAAAATGTTGCACTAATGCTCTTATAAAGGGATTTAGATTGTTGTTGTTTTTCTGGGCCTCACTGTGCATCAAAGCTTTGCTGTCTGTTCACATACCTGTGAATAAAGGGGTAAGCAGGAGGGAGACACAATACAAATCTAATCTTGTGACAAAAATGTATCTGAGAAATTTTAAAACTGTAATCTCGTAATCCTCCTTACATGCTAGATGAGCTTTTTGGAGTAGCAGATGACTGTATGTCAAACCTGATTTTCTGTTGTTTCATTTCAAACCCCCACAATGCAGCATCATGTAGCACCCAGGATGGTAAACTCCCCAGCAATGAAGGTGAATTACGTTTCCCAGAAAGTCCCAAACATTTCTATCAAAACAACCAGTGAGTAGATGCAAGCATTCCTTTTTCAGAAGCTACATGCAATGATCTTGCAGCTGTAATTTGTTGTTTGATTGCAGACAGGAACTCATCCAGTTTGTGTCATTGCAGGTTGTGTGTGTGGACTCTGCTGGTCCCAGAAGGAATGCATATACTACTTAATTTCTCCCACTTTGATGTGGAGTCAGACACGTTCTGTGACTATGATTCTTTGTCAGTGTATTCGAAAGATGACAGACTAGTTGGTGAGTTGTTTTTCAGTGATTTTATGAAATATTTTCATAGAGTCCTTCAATGAAATTTAAAGTTATAATAGAAACTGGATCCACTGGTTTCAGACTGTGTATGTGATGTCACTGATCACACTGAACTCATGCTTGCAAGTTGTATGTCATGTCTCCCTCTAGGAGCTTGGCAACTAGATGATAGCAGTTTACTACTTCCGCTAGCTAATGGAGTTACCCTTTAACCTCAAGTGGTAGAGGCTTGCCTGAGAGCAGCTCGATCCACTGCAGCCCCATTGGGGTCCCTTCCTTCTGCTGCACTAGTGCAAGGTCCAGAGCAGTGGGACCTGAGCCTGACCACCGTCTGAGAAAGGGAGCTGAAATGTACAGAGCAGCAGTGTGATGTGCTTGCTGCTGTGAGCTCCGGGAGGCTGTGCTGCCTCAGTGGGTGCTCTTAGTGATCTGGCTTATGCTGCCCTGCTCACTCTGCGCTCCCACCCTGTCTTTCCGGAGTGCCGGGCAGCTGTCTGTCTGCTCGGTAATAGACAGAGCCCCTCCTGGCCTCGAGCATGGCTACTGGAGCGTTCCTAGCCCTCTGCCAGGGCAGTGGCCATGCTGTACAGTCCCTTGTGCATTTACTGATATTTTTTGCATTGTAAATATTAAAGCAGGAGCTGCCTGGAGCCATTTGATAAATTCCAGAAAATAAAGCCTGTTAGCCTTTTAAAAAAAAAAAAAAAAGAAAAAAGAAAGAAAGGTCCTTGCTTGAAAGCCTGCTGACAACTCATGCAGGAGTGAGTGGTATTACCCAGTTATTACAATTTATTGGGGGAAAGTGTTTGCAGGAGGAACTGGAGGTTCAGTGAAATGATAATGGGCCAGCACAGAGGATGTTAGTTTCTAGCTTTTGGGCTTTTTCTAGCTTTTACAGCTGTAAAAGCTTTTGGACTTTTGAAAAGCCCAAACTAAGGGGCTGTAAGAATTCTAGTTATATCTGTACTTTTGATTTCTTTTATGACCAAATACTATAGCTGAGGTTTTATTATTTTGATGTGTATACATTTTCTCAACTAACTTTACTATGTTTTTTTAAAGATGATCGTTCTCTAATAATAAATATGTAATTTGCAGGGAGATTCTGTGGGGTTGACTCTCCACTACCCATTTTGGTCAGCTCCAATGGTATAAAGCTGAAATTTGTCTCTGATAACAAGGCATCTGGAACTGGATTTTCAATGGTGTACAGAGCTCTTTCACCAGATGCTCTTCCTGGTAAGTGTTAGTGCTGTATTATATCCTCCCTGTCAATTCATTGTATAAAATCCAATGCATTCTTGAAGTTAGCTGTTCTGAGGCCTGTATAGTTGCATTGTCAGGCACATGGCCTGAGGAAGTGGGGATGGATCTTGATTAAGTTCAGACTGAGGCTTGGTTTGAGGCTGAAAAAGCACTAGCATAAAGGATGATGATGTGTGAGTTCTCTTTCTAAGCAGATGATGGGATGGAGAGGACAAGGGAACTAACTGCAAATGGGACTACCGGGGACTGTCCTGAAAAACCCTATTGCTATGAGGACTCAGGAGAGAGATTGTCTCAGTGAGAGGCCCCTCTGTAATTTCCTCCCCACCAACCAAATGGGATCACATCCAGTTCCCTACAGCACAGGGGTGTTCTAAGGCTTATTTAATTAATTAATGTTTGTAAAGTGACAGAGATCCTCAGGCAAAAGATGCTATAAAGGATCCTGAGTCCAATCACTCCTTCCTAGGAGGGAGTCCAAGGGAGACTGCAAAGTAGGAGGAAATGTTTTTGGGTAGTTTGTTTTCCCCCTGGAACAGGTCGCAGGGCCAGCCTCCAAATCTGGAAGATCCACTGATCAAGCAGAGAGAGGCCTCTGTGACTCTGTTTGCTTCATTCCTTGGCAGAGTGATTCCTTTTTAAAGGCTTCTGCAACTGTGTGGCAACTGCCCCCAGCACTCCTCTTAAAGGAGATTGCCATCTGGAGGAAGCACATCCATTGGCCATGTTACCTTTCCAACCTGATCTCCGAGGGGCATAGGGGGGGGTGAAGTGCAGCTCCCTGGCCTTTTCTTGTCACACTCATTCTGCTGTGGCTCTGCATGGATCCCAGTACCTGCAGAGTGCTCTCTGAAAGGTTGGGAGAAGTACGTTACTGCAGTGGGCTGGCTCTCTTTTCCATGTGGGAGGGGGATGATCTGAGGGGAGAGGCTCCCCTCTGTGCATGGATCACAGTAATGGGCCAAATCATTCTCCCTTTCTTTTTCTGTAGTTCACCTGTGAGAGCGCTGCTTGGGAGCTGTTCAGGATTTGAAGTTAATGGATGGACAATTAATAGGAAAACACTTGATTCCCTTTGATTTTTTTCCCTATGTGTTTCTAGATTCTGGCTGCGGGTCCTTGGCTGTCCTCTTTGAAGGAGGAGTGATACAAAGTATGAACTATCCTGAGCCCTACAACAATCTGGCAGACTGTCACTGGATTATTCATGCTCCAGAGAACCATGTAATCAAGGTACAATGCAGGAAGGTCTTACACCTTTCATTCTGTGCAGATAATTTCTTTTGGAAAGAAATAAGTCATACACTAAGTGCTGGCAACGAAAGCTTACTTTAGTTGCACCTTCAATTCTTGTGTAGTGCTGCTGGGTCCAGTGCATGGCTGTTACATGCCACCCCAAAAGCAGCTGTATTCTCATGATATTTCAGATCTGTTAGAACTGTAACAAAGTTTGGAATCATTTAGACTTGGGCTTTTGGCTTGGCCTGCTTGCACTAGTTGCAAATTGTGGATCTGTCTAAACTCAGATTTCTCCAGAGTTTTGGGGATGTTTGAATTGGGTGTTTTGGTTCATTACTAACGTAAATTAAAAGTATATTTCTCTTATTAGTTATGAACATAATGATTTTCCTTCCTTATTAGCCTTTTGTTGAAGACAAAACAGAGCATCAGTTTAATATCACATAGATCTTCTATCAGGGGACTGTATCCTGCCCTTAGAGGAGCAAGAGGACCTTAGAGGGTATTAAAGATCGGTAATAGGTCTTCCTATCTCTTACTACTAACTCTATAATCTAATTCTTTCCTTTTTCTTTTTAAGCTTACATATGAGTATTTTGAAATAGAGGAAAATGAAGACTGCTCCTATGACTCTGTAACAGCGTATGAAGATGTAACAAAAGAGGAAGAAATAGGTTTGTTTTTTGATTTTCATCCAGGTCATTAATTCAGACCTAGCTTCTGTTGTTCTCATTTTGTATCTCCAAACACTATAATTTAGCAAGTAAAAACTTGACAGCCTGTAAAGCCAAGTAACAAATCAAAAAAGAGCAATTCCCCTCTACTGCCACTAGATGCTGAACCGAATACTATTCTCAGTACAGTACACACTGACATTTTTCACCACTGATCCTTTTCAGAGGATTATCTACTATCCATTTACTGAGATAGAGAAACATATCCAAGATTTTCATGATGTAGATATTTAAATTGTATCCTAAATGCAGTGCTTAGGAAATACTGCCAGATATTTGTTTTGCAGCACTGGTGTTTGACACTTGATTATACAAAACACCTGAGGTGACCTGAGTTCAGTTTGCTTTTCAGGGGCTTGTTCTTCTTCACTATCCCTGTTGAACATTGGTGTAACTCTCATTAACTTCATTGGAATTGCTCCTGGTTTATGGCAGTGTACCAATAAGTTAGAGGAGAATTGGGCCCAAGGACTTGTTCTTTGGTTTGTCAAGGGCTTGGAATACATAATCGGCCCAATTCATCCCTGTGCTGGTGCTAGTGTTGGAGCAAAGACACAGGGGAGGTAGCTTGTGCCTCCCTTTATTCAGGGACTGCTGGGGACCAGTTGGGTCCTTGGTGGTCTAAGGAAGCCCTCAGGATTACCTTAACTTGCACCTCCTGCAATGGCTCCCATAGGCTTGTGCAGGAGTACAGGACTGCCATGGCCAATGCCTTGCCACTCCAGTCCGTCTCATGCATGGGATTGGGTGGAGTGGGATTCCTGCACTGGGGATATTTCCCAGGGGAGTCCTATGGTTACTTTCAGCCCCTTTGCAGCAGCATAGCAAGGCTGAATTCACCTGTAGGCTTTGATTGCTCTTTACTGACCAACATTGGCTTTGTTTGGAAGAATCTGAAAGCAGCTGGAGAATGTTGTTGTACTATTGGGGGCAGCTTTGTGTCTTTGGAAGGTAACGGTAGTTTTTTTGAGATGAGAAGGTGTGAGGGAAAAAGGACATTGAATGTCTAACGGTGTGGTACTATTTGTAAACTAAATTGTATTAATTTTTTGTAATAACTTGGTCAGTTAATGACAGTGGGATGCTTGGATGCAAGGAAAGCCAAATCCCCAATGTATTCCTCCCACAGTTGTGAAACATGATGAAAAGGACACAAAATACCCACAACAGAGCTGGCAGATATAAATCTATGAACAAATGCTCCACAAATCCTCATCTTGATAGCTGAGGTTAGACATGGACCAAGATCTAATTATCCTGAGACCTGGGAGGGATCTGAAAACCTAAACCCAAAATTGAATTTTGCAAATGGCTTCTATATTTATGAACCAAAGTCCTGGATCCAAACTCCTTGGATTTTTGGGAAGTTTGGAATTTGTGTCGAAATATTGTTGCTGAGTTCCATGAGAGATCATTCTAACATATACAAAACTAGGTTTCTTTCCAATCATATCTGTGTTTTGGAAAAAGTGTGCTTCTTCTTTCCTCCTTCCCTTTTTCTTCTGTTGCCAGTAAAATGTATGATAAAAGAGTTATATTTAATCATTTGTAAATCTTGGGTCTGTCTTTAGCTAGGTCTTGTGGGTTTGCTGTCCCAGCGCCTGTTTTGAGCACCTCTAGCATGATGCTGATCATCTTTCATTCAGATGAAACCGAGACCTTTGGGGGGTTCCGAGCCACATTCTCCTTCATTCATGTAGCAGGTAAAAGAATTGAAGCATAGTGTATATGTGACAGCCTGCTTTGCCTTGGGGGCAGCATGGGGGCTCTGCAGTGAATCTTGGTATTTCACCTGGTTTTGCTCTGGGTAAGTCTCCCGGTAAAATGTAACTGAAGATTTCCGTCATCAGATGTTGTCCCTCTGTAGATAGGTTTCTAAAATCACAAGAAATTACTAGTGTGTCTCTGTGACAAAACCAGGAGTAACTTCATTTGAGATACACTAATATGCTATTTTCACTTGATAGATTTAAATATATCAGATTTGAACAATGAAGCAGCACTTTCTGAGGGTCTAAATACCACCACAGAAATTCCAGGTAAGTCAGCCTGTGATACGCCTTCTTCAGTGGGAATGTGGTACAATCCAGGCGGGGAGGAGGGGAGAAGAATGGCTTAGGATTGTACCTTGTTAAGATGCTCCAGTTAAGAAGAACTAAAGAAATAAAGGTGTAAAGAAATAGAGTTGGCTTTAGAGTAGTAGAGCCCGATTCTCTGGTGCCTGCACCTTGTGCACTCACTTACACCAGTAAAATGTGGGTTTAAAATGCCACTATTTTGATTTGGTAACATTTTGCAAAAACCCACTTTGTACTAGTGTAAATGATAACACCAGGCACTGGAGAAACATGCCTGTACTTTTAGAAATTGTCTTTTCACCCCTAAAGGTTTATAGACTGGGATGAGTCCTCAATTTACTACAGACCTAAGGCTAATTCATTGTACTGTAGATGATCTTACTCTTATGAATAGGCTCTGTTTCTGCAACGAGCATCTTCTCTTGGCAGTGGTGTCCCTACACATTTTGATGCATTGCAGTGGGGGAGGTTTAGGGTTAGGAAAAAGGTTGTTGAGGTAGGCTACCCTCACAGTAAATGCAGTCAAGCAAATGTAAACTCTTTCCCCAACTGAAAACTGAACTCTCCTTGAGTATATAAACCCTTTCTGTTCCATATAACAGATGACATCTGTGGAGTGCCTTCAAATCAGCCCAGGTTTCTCTTCAGTAGGATAATGGGTGGTGAGGAAGCTGTCCCCTACTCATGGCCTTGGCAGGTCAGCATACAGATTTCAGCCGAGCACATCTGTGGAGGAGCAGCCCTTACCAAAGAGTGGGTTGTCACAGCTGCTCACTGCTTTAATTATAAGTAGGTACACGGGGGAAGAAGATACTGTAAGATTTCTGGGGGGAGTTCTTTATCACAAGATGTCATGTACAATGTGATGTATGTGTTTGGATTTTGTTCTATTAGATTGGTGTAAAGCATGGGCAGCTAATATCTTCTCAAACAATTAATTTGACACTAAAGGGGATACTGACAAGATTTATAGTCCCCAAATCTATCCGCCAGCCCTGGGGAATTCCTTCCTGATTGTCCTGTGCCCCTCCATAGCATGAACTGCCAGGGCCCATCCACAAATCCAGAAGATCCCTGAGAATCTGTTTAGAACCTGGGAGATCAACAGGAGGCCTGGTCTATCTGCCCAGAGGGTTGTGATAGGCTTGTCATTATTAAGAAGCTCATAAACCCACAGATCCTACTCCTTGTTACCGGTGTTGGGGAGGACACTTTTATGGAAGGAGTTAATCATGGACCTTGGCAGCAGCAGCTCCCTCTAAAAATATATTTTCCAAAAAGTACTGTAACTCTCGAGTATTTTCTAGATCATTTGTAATGAATATTATACGACTGTTTTCATTTTCTAATTCAATGAAAAGCACATACAAAGATCCTCCTGTTCTTACCATCAGGTTTTCTTTCCACAGCGGGGGCTCTCTTTCTGCCAGAGCTGCTTCTCCCAGGGTTGACCCTAGAAATTCTGGTCCATTTTCAAATAATTTTGAGATTGTCTTTAAAGATCAGAGGTCACATTTTCAGAAGTCTTAAGTCCCATTTTCAGAAGCGACTCAGGCATTTAGGGTCCTAAACCCCACTGATTTTTTTAAATGGAACTTAAGCTCTGAACTGCCTAAGTCACTTCTGAAAATGGGACTTAGGTGGCTTTGGAAATTTTACCCCACATGTCCTGATTTGCTGTATTTAAAAAAAACAAAAGAAAAGAAAACAACCCTATGAGACCTGTGGTCAGAGGAAAATTCTACTTTGCATGATCTCATCCCATCAGAGTCTTTATATGGCCTCTAGTAGTTCTGCATTAATTGATTTAGTCAATCCTTCAGTGTTTTTGTTGTCTCAACAAAAAGAGAAACAATTGTAAAGGGTTTTTCTGTTGTGTTTTTTGATCTGTGATTCTGTTAATCATTTTTAATTTTTTTTAATGAAAAACTGACGTGAAACTAAAAAATAGTGTTAAGTGTTGGTTTTGTCCCTAGCATGTCTATGTCCTACTGTTTCTCTAGATGCTTTGCATAAGAATCAGAGCCCGCGAGCTCTTTCCTCCCGGCCCAAATTATTCTATTGCGGCACCTAATCACACTGCCAAGTTACAGGACTTGGTCGTACTGCTATTGAAGTTATTCCCGTTGATTTATGGGATAGGATTGGGCCCCTGAACTTAAATCTTAGATTCTTAAGGATTAATCATGCCAGAGATTGTTAGATAAACTTCATGGTGAGAACAGCCCTGAGAATGTTCCTGCTTTCTTCTTCTTTTTTAGGAAACAGTACAGAGATTTATGGATGGTGGTTGCTGGACTCCATGATATTACAGAGCAAGAGCACAGTCAGGTATTATGAATTAAACCTGGTTTGTACATTAAATATTTCTCACTAACTGGTAGCATGGAGGATGCAGCAGATTGTTGAGCTGCTGTGCAAATGGAGGCTACACATGCGCATGAGGAAGTTTAGGTGCCAGCACAGAACTTGGAAGTGAGCAGTAGTGAGCCCCAAACTCTGAGCACTGCTCCCAACTCACAAGTGTGCAGGGTGCAAAGGGGGAAGCGCATGGTGGAGGAATGGCTCAGCCACAACTGCTTCAGTATCTTAGCTCTACATTCTGTAAGACCTGGTGATCGTTGCCAATACGGATGCTGTCCGTTGTCACAGAACAGTGGCAGTTCAGTCTATGTGCAGCCCTTCCGCATCCCATTCGGCTGACTTTAGTTCCTGAATGTCCTACATGTGTGTCCCTTACCTATCATGACAAGACAGCTGCTTTCAAGGCTACATTTTAGTCACGGGTATTTTTAGTAAAAGTCATGGACAGGTCATGGGCAGTAAACAAAAATTCACGGTCTGTGACCTGTCCATGACTTTCACTATATACCCCCTAACTAAAACTTGGGCCAGGGGACTGTGGGTGCTCGGGGGGGCAGGCTGGGGTGCTGGGAGAGGGGGCCGGGCAGCGGGGCTCACAGGCTCTCTACCCGGGGAGAGGGGTGACCAGGGGGGCTCCGTGCGCTGCTCCTGCCACAAGCGCCGGCTCCGCAGCTCCCATCGGCTGGAAACTTCAGCCAATGGGAGTTGCAGGGGCAGTGCCCCCCTGGCCACGCTGCCTAGGACCTGCAGGGCCATGCCAGTGGGAGCCAGAGAGCCCCCCCCCCCAAGTAAGCACCACCCCTCACCCCAAGTCCTTGCCCCAGCCCTGAGCCCCCTCCCACACCCAAACTGCTGCTGCTGGCCCTGAGCCAGCACCAGCCACTGCAGAAGTCACGGAGGTCATGGAAAGTCACAGAATCCATGTTTTCCATGACCTCTGTGACAGACATGCAGCCTTAATCATTAATAATCTTGGTGGTTCTTCATACATCATCACCAGAGCTCCAGGCACATTCATAAAACTGGAATGCTTTAAAGCACCAGGCTCCCAGCTCATTCAATGAATTGCTGTGTCTTCCCTTTTCTAGAGAAGATCAGTGAAGCAGTACATTATTCATCAAGATTTTAACGAGATCACTATGGATTCCGATATTGCATTATTGCAATTGACTGAGCCCCTGGAGTTTAATCACTACGTGCGTCCAGTGTGCCTGCCTGAGAAGGATGAGGTGGTTCAGCCTTCTAGGGTGTGCACCACCACAGGGTGGGGTACTCATAATGAAGGTATGCAAGTCTTTTCACTTTTCACTTCATGGGGCTGTGCATACTGCAGATATATTTTAACAAACACTATAGGGCACATGAGAAAGCGAATCATATCTTTATTTGGCTCCTAGAAAAGTAATGTGTTAATTGGGATCTGTTCTTGATTACATAGATGGTGAGGTGTGCATGGGGCATGGTAAGAATCAGATATATTAAAATGTGGTACAGTCTGCAGAAGGGGAGTACTGGAAACATCGTCACTTGAAACTTTTAAAGCTAGGACAAAGCATGAGAAAATGTCTAGTAGAGAGCAATCCTGCGTTGTCAGGAGGAAGGGCGTGGTGATCCCAGGGGTATTTTTCAGCTCTCGTGTCTATGGCAGGAGGTAGGTATATATCCGTGTTCATCACGGGTCTGTGTTTTTGCTGATTTTAAGATATTTTTCATTTCAAGACAGAGAAAAATCCAATAAACTTCAGCAGCTGGAAGTCCCAATCCTAGTCTCTGAGACATGTCAGAACTATTATGTAAACTATCCTGGCAAGGTGACTCAGCAGATGCTCTGTGCTGGATTCCCTCTGGAGGAGGGAAAGGACTCGTGCACAGTAAGTTAACACAAAGTACCACTATTGTACTTATCAGGGAACTGGAAAGATCTTTGATTCTGAAATAGGGAGTGCTGAGATGTGAGTGGAAGGGACTGTTTCACTGTGAACAAAAATTACTTATATGGTACATTGTGAAACAATTTGTCATTCCAACAGTGCCATCAGCTATTCATATTACATACCCACCCACACACCCCAAAAATGGCACATCTTGAGCCTTTGATAAAAAAGAAGGATGAAAAGAAATGAGTTAAGTATGAATCAAACATATGAGTCAAGGTTTGTCATGGCAGCACATTGAAAAGGCAATGTTAATTTGTAACATAAACTATTTTCTCTTACCATGTAGGGTGATTCAGGTGGACCGTTAGTTTGTCCTTCAGAAGATTCAGGATTTTACACTCTGAGTGGACTAATAAGCTGGGGCTTCGGTTGTGGAAGAAAAAACTACCCAGGAGTATATACAAATGTTGCTGTTTTCATTGACTGGATCAATCACTATATTAACAATACTGGTATGTTGGGGGGGGGGGGGGGGGGGGGGGAAGGCCACTGAGTTTGCTTTAGGTGCCCAGCCTGAGGCACATTAAAAGGGCCTAGTCCTTTTCAGAGGGCAGGTCCTTAGCACTTTCTGAATGGCAGGCCCCTTTAACATGTCTCAAGTTGGGCACCCGGGAATGAAGGCACCCAAAATCAGTAGTCACTTTTGAAAATCTCAGCCTTGACTCTTCATCATATATCGGGGTGGCCAAACCACAGCTCGTGAGCAACATGTGGCTCTTTTACAGTTAAAGTGCAGCTCACGGAGTCCCCCACACCCCAACCCCCATTCTCCACCTACCAGACTTGGGGATGGGGGAGAGAGCTCTGAGCATCTGCTCAGTGGGAGGGGGCTCTCGGGGCCTTTGCCCTGCGGGCCATGCCTGCCAGGGCTCGGGGCTTCAGCCCCACTCCTGCTGAAGCTCTGATGTCCAAGACCCTCCCCTTTAGTTAGGGTGACCAGACCGCAAATGTGAAAAATCAGGACAGGGGGAGAGGGGTAATAGGAGCCTATATAAGAAAAAGACCCCAAAATCGGGACTGTCCCTATAAAATCGGGACATCTGGTCACCCTACGTTTAGTCCAGGCAAGCACGCCCTGCAGGGCTAAAGCCCCGAGCCCCGACAGGCGCGCTCTGAGCCTAGCTCTCGAACTTCTGAAGATTATCGTATGCAGCTTGGAGGATCAGTAAGTTTGGCTACCCCGTCATATATTATTATTCCTACCTTTGATTCTATTTCTTCAAGTCAGTAGTGTGTTTCCTTAATCTGCTTTGCTTTTCCAATTTTTTGAAATGTAATGACACTAGATGACAAAACAATTTCAGTGGCATCTCCATTTATTCCAGTGTATAAACGTGTAGTCTTGACTGGTTAGTTGAGAACCCTTGGAAGTTTTCACCAGGGAATCTTTTAAAAGTTTTTCCAGTTGTCATTTTTCTAGATCTACTCAATTTCATGCTATACAGCTCAAAAGAACCAGTTCTAACAGGCCTTGTTGTAGTGCATCCCCAACTAACAAATACAAACTTGGCATATAAGTCTGGCAAGGAAAGCAGATTTCTCCTCTGTTGGTAGGGTTCCAGCAGTGTAACTGTTGGCAGAATTTGACCTATAGTGTGTTAATCTGTCTGAACACGTTTCCATACAGTAAAGGCCAAATTCCAAACTCATTGATGGTCGTCTGAATCTAATTTCAGTTGTTACCCATTGTTACATGTATATTTTTGGAGCAGTCACACATTACAGGTTAACATAATTTCAGAAATCTGCAGGTATTAGAAGGAAGATAGGAGAGGAGGGAATGAAATGAACGTGACGCTTGTGAGTCACGTCACTCAGTGAACTATTGGAAGGTGCTCAAATATGACAGTGATGAGGGTCATGTAAGAACCTGTATTGACTAAAAAAAAAAAATCTAGTTTTCAGGAGCTCTTGCAGAGGTCAATGAGAATTTTACCATCAACTTCAATGGGAATAGAATCAGGCTCCAGCTTTTTCAATTTGAAATCTGTTTTTCAGGTATGGAAGACAAAGGTTTTGCTTTTTATTCAGTAACATGAATTGAGTGGGACGATATCTCTTTAAAACATACTGTGGCCGCCTTTATGGGCCAGATCGTCAGCTGGTATAAATTGGAGCAGGTTTGTTGACTTCAGCCTAGGAGTGATGATTTGTAGCAGCTGAGGATCTGGCTGCAGGTGTCTAAACTTGTAGTGATAGCCACTACAGCAAGGAAGCTGAGTTAGAATGCAGAGTAATCTACTTCTCTGCCCCTTTAGCAGCAATTTTTAAACTTTGCAACATTTCTGCTAGTTAAGATAATTTAACATTAATTGCCAGTCTTGCTAACATATTTAACTACAGAAATTCTTGCTGAGGGCTTGTTTATATAAAATATAATCAGTATAGAGCTGATGCAACAGCTTTGCTCTCTGTTCTGTTCACTAATATGAATGCATTGCTACCATATGCAGGCAAGGCACAAGGATTTCCAAACTACTCAAACTTTCAAGACAACATCTAAATTCAGTGAAGATCTGGTACCTCGCATCATCTGCACCAGCAGTTCTGCCTTCACAATGAAATTCGCCATGACCTCTAGCGACCTTACTTCTGTGGCTTCTGGGTGGCTTACAGTTTTCCAAGTAAAGATTAAAATTCTTTTGAATGTGGCTTTTGGACATTAAGCTCCTCATTTTGTATTTAGAAAACTCAGTGGATCTGTAAGATAAGGGATGCGTTTCATGGGCACATATTCATTTTAATCCCTTGCATCTTTTTAATAATATCAACATCCTGTAAATTTAGCAGAGTTTTGTTTTGTTTTGTTTTTTGGTACATTTTACTGGGTCTGATTTGCCTTTAACTCGTTTACACCAGTTTAACTCCACTGATTGCAATGACTGTCATCAGTTTAAGTGAAAGGAGAATCAGGTCCATTGTGTCTGGCTTTGAAACTACACTTTATGAATTGTTGATAGAGGGCTTGAAACCAGTCTTATTCATCTATTAGTTTCTGTTAGGCTGCCCTCTTTAGTAGTGACTCAGTCAGAAATGGACTTGTTGACTGGAAGGACTGAGAAAGGACTGTAGGATTTGGCTCAATATTTTTATATGTAATATCTGACCGTATAATAAAAATTGTTATGCACTGAAAATGGCTGCATGAACTTTTGTAGAGTCTAACTGCTTGGGGGGTTAGGACTCCATTATGGCTCATAGATTCCAAGGCCAGAAGGGACCATTGTGATCATCTTGTCTGACCTCCTGTACAACACAGGCCATGGAACTTCCCCAAAATAACTCTTAGATCATATCTTTTAGAAAAAACATCCAATCGTGATTTTAAAATTGTCAGTGAAGGAGAATCCATTGATGTCATTGGTAAATTGTTCCACTGGCTACTTACACTCACCATTAAAAAATTATGCATTATTTCCAGTCTGAATGTGTCAAACATCAACTTCCAGCCATTGGATCACATTACACCTTTCTCTTCTAGACCGAAGAGCCCGTTATTAAATATTTATTCCCCTGTAGATACTTGTAGCCTGTAATCAAGTCACCCCTTAACCTTCTCTTTGAGCTTTTAGTTTATCAATCTATTTAGCTCATCACTATAAAGCATATTTTCTAATCTTTTAATTATTCTTATGGCTCTTCTCTAAACCCTCTCCAATTTATCAACATCCTTCTTGAATTGTGGGCACAGAACTGGACACTATTTCAGCAGTGGTCACACCAGTGCCAAATATAAAGGTAAAATAACCTCTCTACTTGTGCATGAGATTCCTCTGTTTATGTATCCCAGGATCGCATTTGCTCTTTTGTCCACAGTGTCACACTGGGAATTCATGTTCAGCTGATTATCCACCATGACCCCCAAATCTTTTTCAGTGTCACTGCTTCTCAGGATAGAGTCCCCCATCCTGTAAGTATGGCCTATGTTCTTTTTTCCTAGATGCATACTTTTTACAGATAGCTGTATTAAAATGCATATTGTTTACTTGCACCTAGTTTACCCACTGATCCAGATTGCACTGAACCAGTGAACTCTCCTCTTTGTTATTTACCACTCCCCCAATCTTCATGTTATCTGCAAATTTCATCAGTGATGATTTTATGTTTTCGTCCAGGTCATTGATAAAAATGTTAAATAGCATAGGACAAAGAATCGATCCTGTGGGACCTCATTGAATGATGAGTCCCCATTTGCAATTATATTTTGAGTCCTATCAGTTAGCCAGATTTTAATCCATTTAATGTGTGCCATGTTAATTTTATATCATTCCAGCTTTTTAATCAAAATGTCATGCGATACCTAGTCAAACGCCTTAGAGAAGTATATTACATCGACACTATTACCTTTATCAACCAAACTTGTAATCTCATAAAAAAAAATTGAGGTACTTTGACAGGAACTATTTTCCATAAACCCAAGTTGATTTGCATTAATTACATTACCCTACTTTAATTCTTTACTAATTGAGTCCCATAACAGCCACTCCATGTTGGGAATGTGGATTACAAGGTACATCAGGGATGTGTAAGATGTAGGATTTTTACTGTTGAAACTTCAACCACTTGCCCTTCTTTATTCCAAAATATTTGAACACATGAATAGTTGATCACATCAGCTCAACAAGTAATGAGAAAGGTTCTTAGCATCACTTAACTAATTTAAAAGCATTTCAAGGGCCAGATCTGCCAAGTCAAAAGCCTAGAATTATACACAGAACTGATACACATGCAAATACTGTAACAAGGTGGTCCTTGCAAATCAGATATTTTCACATGCAAACCGGAGTTGTTTACCTAATGCCCACATGGCTACTTGCATGCACAAATACCTGATTTGCAGATGGAATTTCAGCAACCGTCAATGCAAATTAGCCGCACAATTGCACATGCATTTTTGTGCATGGCTGAAAGTCAGTTTAGAAAAGATCATAAATATAATGGTACAATATTTAGTTTAAAGAATAATCAAGTCAGAGAAGAGTTATTTTAATGACTAAGGTAAGTAGTCAGAATGCAGGTAAAGAGCCCAATTGTGATTATAGCCATTTGAATGGCAAAATCCCTGTTGTCTTCAGAGATCGTCACTAAGTTTATCAGTCTGACTCAATTGTTTGCAATCTAACCTTTGAACCTTTGTGTGGTTTGGGACTCCATCTTCTGATTTTATTTTTCTTTTATTATGGTGCAACTGAGAAAGTTTTAGGCAACTGTGCAAAACAAAGAGAATATTGCTTTCCAAACCTATGTGTCAGGCACCTTTGACAAGAGTCTTCCCTCCACTGAAAATATTCTGTCAAGACCTAACCAAAAACTCCCAGAGCACATGAAAATACTTCAAAATCTAAGGCTATAAAACCTAAGGAAAGTGTGAGGAAAAGAGATTGGCCGTTCACTGCCTGAAGAACAGTGGACGTAAGCTTGTTTTTCGTTGTATGCGGTCTTTATTGCTGGTCAAGTGTACTGAAAGCAGTTCTGTTGCTTTTGCACAGCTCTGGTTATAACTTTGTTGATGTCATTGGATGTTTGATTTCATCCACCTTTGTCAGAAAGGAATTTGGCCCTTGGGTGTTACCGTTGAAACAGAATTGTAGGTGTGATTGAAAAGGATGTGTTGGAAAACTGCTAAGGCTAAAGAGTCAAATACAGAATGTTACTTTGCCAAACCTTTGTTTTTACTGTTGAATATAATTTTTCATAACAGAGACCAGGCCCTGATTCTCATTTTCACTAAGACCACTTTACCCCGCTCTAGAAAATGACAGTTACACCAGTTCAGGGTCCTTCTTCACTGCTGTGGTGGTGTAAACTGACATTAGTGTAAATGAGAATCATGCTCCAAGAGTCTAAAATCAAGATGAAATCATTTTGTTTCTTGAAATGCAAGTGAAAACAGTCCTCTCAGTAACAGTGTGTGGAAGTAAATTAAAGCTTTCTGTCTAGAACAAGTACACAGAGGTGCTTCTACACAGTTCAGAAGGCCACTGATAATCTAGTCACACAGCTCTGCAATCATTAGAGTCACAGTAAAATATGCTGAAGACCACATGTTTGAAACTAACATATAGTGAAGTTTAGGATTAATTCCTGACTGAGAAATTTGAGTGTTTTGTGTTTAGAGGTTTTTTTATTTTAGTTTCGGGAGCTGTTTTGTCAAGTCTCCAAACTGTAAATTGAACAACATGGAAACTTTATATAAAAATTATTTTGCTTTCATTAGTCTTTATTTTAAAATTGAACAAGTATAAATTGTTTTTCCAACTGAACAAATAACCGTTATTCTGCCATGGCAAATAAGAAGTCATGCCACCTTAATCAACCTTTGTGGCATCAGAATCCAACAGCTTCTGCCATGGAAATAAATCTTATGCTGCCACAGAATTCTGTGGGTTCTGATTATGACAGTGTGTGGGCTTTGCCCACTATGTTTCCCTGACTGAAGGGATTCATTAATGTAACTACTGAATTGTAAACCAGGGCATCTTCCAGAGCACATCTCTGTTCTCTGGCAGTCTGAATAATACGGGGGAATTAATGGTATTTGAGGCTAAACAGTCTCCTGTTTTTGAAAGTGATGAGTGGAGAAAACAGTGGTAAGAAAGGTAAAAATGATAGGAACCATGAAAATAAGGGTGTAGAGATATTGGATTATGCATTTTTCCCTTCTTTTTATAATCCTGCTCATGTCATTATATAACAATGGATGACTGCATGCATTTTACTTTGTTTGGATAACTTCACTAGCATGACAAAATATACAAGTGTTATCAAAGTTAATGCACCAAGAAACTGTCTAGGACAGGTTTAATATGGTACTGAGGTTTTATATCTTGCAACCTTATTGTACCACTGTCCATAACCTGACAGTGGAAAATTATTGCTGGCATCTCTTTCTCTTCTCCCAGAGTTATGCATTATTTTCCATTCTCACTCTTTAGTATAACGTGTGTGCACGGGCTATGTTAGGTCATGTCTAAACTGTGGGGACTATATTGGCATAGCTACGGTACCATGGCTGTGCCAGCATAACCCCATAGTATCAACTACATTGATGGAAATGACCTATATAGTCTAGCTGCTAGCACAGTGCTGAAGCAGGGAGAGGGGGAAAGGATTGCAGGGACCAAAGGTCGGGAGGTGTTGAAACGGGTGGGCGGGGTTTTCCAGTGGGGTGAGGGAGCAATGGGAGTGTACAGAGAGGCTTGCA